GCTAGCATTACTAGGCAGAAGTTTCAAAAACGCCTAATAAAGGCTATTTGGAAGTTAGTGGCTTGAAGATTTTGTCAATTGTGTTGAAGTCAAAGGTCTTAGGATTGCTGTTTTCAGAATAAAGATAAAGTTGGTTTACTTACCGGAAATTAATTTAGTAGTCTTAGAGGGCGAGTGAGTAGGCTGCATGGGTATTTATAAAATGAAGGTGCTGAAGAAGTTTGCAAGTTTTCTAAAACAAAAGCTGTAGAGGGAGAGAGAAGTTACTGTTTTTGTCAGTTTTATTAGGAAGCGTGTAATCACCGCATCTGAATTACTGTAAACTCCTATGATAAGCATTTGAGTTTGATTATAGTTTGCGATTTGCATAGTATAAGACTAATAGTGTTATTTTTCCAACAAGTTTTCACATAATTCAGCTACTCAGACTTCATCTCTGTTGCCACTCATAAACATCTTTCAGTCACAGCTCTCCACTCCTAGTAAAAAAAAGTAAAAGACAAAAAAACGTCTTTTAAGGCTTTGAAGCCTACATCAAATGAAGACGACGTTACTGAGATGGTTGCCGCAATTGGAGTTGTCGTTAAACGGGCAAACATATTTAGGCAATCTCTCTCCACAAGTTCCAATCTGAATCAGCAGGCAGAGCATTGCGCATGTACCTAACTCACTCCAGCCTGCGTACGACAATCCTGCTCTGTCAACTACCGCTAAATCTTTAGGTTGCAAATACATGATAATATGAAAGAGGAGAGACGATTTCAAAGAGAATTCTTTAACTATCATCCGTACAAAGCAGCAAACATTTATTTCTCTCTAATAAAACATGAGGAATGAGATTTAGAAACAACGGAATGCATCGTAACTACTGGTACTGTCATGAAATAGGCAAATTTAAGCAAATGTTAGCTAAACGGTTTAGTGTAACTTATAAAAAAACTACTAAAGGACTGGATGAGGGGAAAAATACAACCGGCAACAGTAAAACTGGAGTTCTCGTATTTTTTGTTTTTTATAAGCGCAAAATTTCCAATTAATTTTTGTACGCATGAATAGCAACTGGATATTCACAGTTACCAAAAAAGCAGTCCTTTGCTGCCTAAGAAACATTAACAAAAATAGTGTTTCTACCATTCTTTAAAAAAATATGGAAGAACTTAAAACCTTTGGAAGTTGACGAGGATATAATGGATAGCATTAATACGAGATATTTGTTAGAAGATAAACCCGATAAAGAACTAATGGACATAATTTGTAAACTACATTGCAGAGAAGACGCTTTGATAAATTTGGTTTAAATACGCCCGTTTCCAAATTCTTTGATGGTTAGGGGATTTGTTGCTAAAAACAGTCAGCCATTGAATCGACACACAACGGCTTAGCTGCTCAAACCAATATACACAAAAATTAAATTAACCTGTGTTTTTTCCCCTGCTAGCTGGATGCAAAACCTATAGTATTTAAATTACTTCTTATCCCTCAGCTTAGCAATTCTATCAGATAATTTGAAAGATGGGGCAAGAGAATTCGATATAAAAGCGAAAAATTGAATGGGAGGACAAACAAACAACACATTATTACCCGCACATTAATGAGAATTAAGCGTGAGAAAAATTAACTAGCTACACAGCGAAAGACATGAGCAAAAGAAAATTCATTTTAAAACAGCTCATTAAGTTTGATTTTCTAAAATTAATGTTCCTAAGACGGCATCTAAATACCCATTTTCCTACTGGCAAATCAAGCTAATTATGGATACAATAATATCACGTCTGAAAATAATTGTACTTTCATAACTTTTTCGCGGAACGCTGCTGTCCCTGAACTCTATGTTTCGGTAAAACTGATTTATAACTTAGGAGCTACTGCACCAAAGTGCCGTTTAGGGTACCCAGTCTTCAGTACGCCATATAATTGCACAGGGGGATCCCGGTTTTGAAGCCAAAACTCGTCCATTTTCACGGCTGGTAAAACGGTCGATAAGGCATCTTTAAATTTAAGACTATTATAAAAGGACGAAATCCGCTTAGAAAGGCGGGTCAGGTAACTTGCAATGAAAAAAAAAAAGACCAGGAGAAGTCGAACTGTGTACAGATTCACCTGTAACCATCGCCGATCGTTATGACATAGCCATTACAGGCCACGGACCTATCGTCAGAAGAAGTCCGCAGATGACTGACAGTCTCAGTAACTCTAGATTTGACCCAAGAAACAGTATCAAAAAATTCGCTGCTGGTACTACTACCGGCAGAACTCCTGCTATTTTCTTTTCTCGACCCCATTTCAGTGCTATTTACACTAGCTCTCAACATTTTTGCTACCCTCTGGCTGTCATTTAACGCGGTGGTTTCATCAAGGACAATGATTGTATGCACATTTTCTATATACGGTCTAAAGGCCGCCAGCGGCCTCATCTGGAATTAGTACAGAAAGTTCGTGATTTATTAATAAGACAAATGATGTCCTTGAAGAAGAATTCAGCTCTCAATCATTTGACACTTACCTTCCTTGCCTGGGCCACAATGATGACTCCTTTACTCGTACCAATGTAAAGTTGAGGTCCATCAAACTTATCGAGTAAAGCCAGGGATGTAATGGTTCCGTCTTGGGCTGCTTCAATATCTAACGTAGAAATAGATTCGGAAGAAGGCAAGATTTTTTGTGCATCCAGTTTACATAAAATTGTTTTAGTAGATGTTGACCACTGGAAAACCTGTAATAAAAGAAGTATAATAACTTTAGGGTGAAGAATTCTCAAGGGTAATTAAAAAAAATTCTTCAATTTCGTGGGAGCGTAAAGGATAACTCATGCTCCAATAAAGATACGGGGTTTGAAAAAAAGACCCTTCATTTGCAATATCGAGCTAAAATTACTTCTGAATTTTAGACCTGACAGATGTAATGCAGGTTTGAAACCAGAAGTGATAGAGACCGATACGAAGGTAAAAAACAGAAGTTTTGCTAAGTATTAACCTTGCTTCCTGAGAGGGTTGCAGACCAAACAAATGAGGGTTCCGCTCCACTAGTAACCAAGTAAGCTAATTTCGCAACCGGCGGGGAGGGCCCGGCGAATTCGTTATGTACTAGCGTGGAGCAAAGAGCAAAACGTAAGTCGTTAAGAAGCTCATAGATGAGAATAGTGCCACTATCACATCCACACCACACTTCTCTTAAACACGTTGCTTAGTGATTAATGCTATTTTAAAGATAACAGAAGAGTAAAAAACGTCCCAACAGAATAGAAGCTAAACTAATAAGTACGAACTTGCTATTCGAATCATTTTCGGTAATGGCAACTGAGTGAATTGCTGAAACGGGCGTGACACTAACGAGGGTCTCCTCATTTATCTTCTCTTTTTTTAATATTAAAAGTGTAGATTGCAGTACGAGCAAAAGGACTAAAGGAGCGTGAGAGAGTATAAACATGTATCGTACATCAACGCTCAGAGCTGGCTTTGGAAGAAACTGGGCGATCGAGAATGAATGGAGTTCAACGTACGAACTGCGGCTAAATATAAATGTCTTTACAGTGGCTGACCTAACTAAATCAAGACTCTTCACCAGTATACACCCTTCACTTATTATTCCATCTCACCTTGACGACTGCCTGAGTGAGAAATTAGCAAGATTCAAAGTTGATGTTCCATTACGGTTAAAATAATTACAATATCTATGTTCTAAAAAATTACCAGTAAACATGAATAAATCCTGTTGATTCTGCAAGCCAAACGGTATCGTTAACGATACACATCGCAGTTATTACAGCTTTCTCAGCGCTTACAAATATGCTCTAAAAAGGAATAATGGGAGAATCAACGGATATTTCAAGAATAATGCAATAAAATAAATCTTTATAGTCCTCCAGCCGCTATCAAAAAAGCTGAAGACTAATTTCAAAAAAAAAAAAAAAAAAAAAAAAAAAAAAA